CCACCTAAATGGATTCTTAAACAATATTAAATTTCTAAACCGTGAATTCTTTGAAGAATATTATCTACTTCTTCTTTTGAAATACAAATATCTTGCAGATAGTATACTTATCTTCAACTTCACAATAATCTCAAACATAGTTTAGTTTTTTATCTGCAGATTTAGTATGCTTAATGATATTAACTCTAAATTTTTTTGCATTTGATTCATCTATAAAATTTTTTATAGATTTTTGTCTAGCTAATATATTGGACAGCTGATCAACTTTATAAATATCTTTATGAACATCTTTATAAACATCTTTATGAATGTTTTCATAAATATCTTTATAAATGGCTTCATAAACATCTTTATGAATGTCTTTATAAACATCTTCATATCTTTATAAACTTTAGTATCAAAAAAAATATTCAATATTATTTAATATGTGGGTATCATTATCTATAATAATTTTAATTTTTGGTTTCAATATTTTAAGTAAACATTGTGATACTAATAATGGTTACAGTTTGTTGTTATTAACAGTTGTTACTAAACTAGAGTTTTAAATTAAACTTAGATTCTTGGAATTTTAATAGTTAAGAAAAGTTGTGTAATGATTTAATATAACTTAACAATAGCTTTATTTTGGTACAAGGAATTTATTTATCTAATAAATACTTCTTGTAAAAGATTACAAGAATATTTTTCTTTAAAGACAAGAAAGTCTTTTTTATATCTTTATATCAATATAAAAAGAATTATTATATTATTTTTTAATTTAGTTTTTATTTGTTATATAAAGCAAAGTTATGCAACAAATATATCAGCTTAATTTTATTATTAATGTTTAACTGGCCTTATTCTGATCTTTATATATATATACAATGCCTTATACTACATCTTATTTACTTTACAAACATCATGTCTTATTCTATAAATATATATGTCTTGCTCTACTAACATTATGCTTTACTTTACAAATATATATACCTTGCTCTACCAACATCATGTCTTACTCTACAAATATATATGCCTTGCTTTACAAATATTATTGATAGCAAACTTGTAATACAGTCAAACCTCTCTATAGTCACACCTTCGGGATACAAAAAAGCGTGATTGTAAAGAGGTGTGACTAATATAGAGGGATTTCCTATATAGTTATAAATAATTGGTAAAGATAAATTTGTAATTATACCAATTTTGTGACTATAGAGGAGGTGACTATAGAGAGGTTTGACTGTAAATGAAATAATGAATCAATATAAAGAAAATTAAGGTCTTATAGCACCTGTTATAAGAAATAATAAACAGATTTGACTAAGTTGTATAAAAATTTATTGAATGTCAAATATAAATTAATGAGATTTTGAACAATCAGTACAAGTGTAATATGCAATATTATTTTATCTGTTCTATTTTTGATGTAGTTTTAATAAATTTATTATCATTTTTATTAATCTTTAAGCTAATATAAATTTTTTTTATACTATATTTCAGTTTATTTTTTATTCGATTTGTAGATATGAAAAAATATAAATTGGTTTTAGAAAAGACACAGCTCAGAAATAGAAATACTGTAATATATTTTAAACACTATATTATAATATCTAAACTAATTCTAACTAAATCTTAATAGTAAAAGATGATAATTAAGATATAGACAAATTTAATCTAAATAATGAAAGTCAATTAGAGCTCTAGATTACATTACAAGCGAAATAATATTAAGTTATAAGTTTATTTTTTATATTTTAGAGAGAAAAAATTAGAAAAATAAAACACTTTACAATACAGAATTCTAATTTAGTTACTTTATTCAAAATAAGCATTTGAGTTTTTCTTTTATTGAACTTAGTTATATTTGGTTTATTTTTAATGTAGCTATATATAATATAAGTGACATATATTTTATGTATCCAATATACTTTTTCTGCTTTTTATATTATATCAATCATAGATTATTTAAACATTTAGATAAATTAAATTTAGCTAAATTTGACTTTGATGTTTTTATTAAAAAATAAATTTAGATATTTAGACATTTAGACAATTCAATTTAAACAAATTTTGACTTTAGCAAAAATAATTTTGACTAACAATATTTGAGATATCTAAAGCAGAGTAGATTTCTTATCTCTTAAACTGTAGGCTTTTCCAGGCAAATTTGCCTGCAAATTATCATAAATATTGTGATGATCTACTTTTTTTAAATTTTAATATATTTAAATAAAATTTTTTTTGATAATATTTGAAAATAAGAATTATATTTTAGCAGTATTTAATTTTATATTATAAGAAAAAAAGTCTTAGTTACTTATAAGATAAAAATAGACCAATTTAGAAAAA